GATAAAAGGAAGGACACGCACACACAGATAAAGTGTGACGAAGTTCTGGCAGATAAGTTCCACGTGCCTCACGCTGCTGGAAGCACAATGCAGCAGAGAAGAAGCTCACAGACCCTGTCTTTGATCAGCTCTCACTCCCATATAGCCACATATGGTAATTCACTTCTTGGCATTGGCCACTTCAAAGTTATGTAAACTACCTTCCTCCTCTGACCGGCTGGCTGTTTCCTCCACATGGCTGATTCTGAGCTTCACAGATTACCTCAAATCAAATATAATCTTGTTAAACTCTATGCAAGATCCGGCAGCAACAAGACAGAGGCGGATTCATTTTTTTCTTGTTTGGTGAGACTCATTGGTTTTGTCTTCATGCCACTGAAGGTTAAAAACACTATATCTATTTTCAATGAAATATCGAAGCCTTTTAAACCATCTGAGGCGTTATTTCCACATTTCTCTTTCACCGTGGTGGAAACAAACAGGCTGTTCCTGCTCTAACATCTCCCAAATCTTGCTGTTTTCAGATGAATGAATCCAGCAGGGGAATACGCTGAAGCCAATGGGCGATGCAAAGGCTGAAACAGGCTAAGATGATCCCGTTTAAACCATATTGTTATGAACACACTGCTGTGAAACTGTGACAGTGAACTGTGACTAACCATGATTGTAAGCTCAAATTCACCCTAAAAAACCCCAGGCCTGATTACTGCAGAATCAAGTTACTTCTATAGAACTTGACTGACAACATGAAGCAGGCTAAAGTGGGATGTAACATTTAATCTGGTCTGGAAAGCAAAATAGGAGGCCAAGAATCTCCAGAGAACCGTCTGAACCGGCTGATTCACCAAATTTACCAAATTTACTCCAAAAGCACGTTGGTGGAACATCCAGGAGGTCACTAAAGAACCCAGAATAACATCTGCAGCTCTGCAGACCTCACTTCAAGGTTTAGTTTCAAGATTCAACAATAATGGCCAGACTGAGGAGAGCGGAAGGTCAAAAAAATCGATTTTGAATCGATTCCTTTATTTTATTGCAAAATCGATGTCCTGGGAATGAGATCGATTCATTTTATAGTGACCCGCGTGACATTCACATTTAAATGAGCAGGAAAGATGCACTCAAGATGACTTCAAGTCAGACAGCTGCAAATGTACCCAATAGCTTGACTGAAGACATTAACAAATGGGGGCTGACCAGAAAACACCCTGTAGTTGTTACAGACAACGCTGCACATTTGGTTTGTGCAGCGATGATAATGCAGCTCATGCATGTCTGCTGTGTAACGTCTGCTTGCTCATGTGAGGCTTCACTTTTTCACTTTTCACAAACAAGTTTGCACTTATGAGACAGTTTTGTTCATATCTCAAGTTTAAACTGTCTGATTTACAAGTTTGCACTTTGTGTTTAATATGACAGGAAAAAACAAAATATATGAGTATTTTAAAACACAGTTGAACCACTTTCATTTTTCAAAAAACAGATCGAATTGAAATTAATCGAGTTAGAACTGTGTGAATCAAAATCGAATCGATTCAGGACTTTGGCGAAAATACCCAGCCCTAGTCAAAACTACTGCTACTCAGAAAAAAAATAAAACAACAGTCAAAAGGCTGATTTATGCTCAGAAACCAGGTCATCTGCGTGTGTCGCAGTTAACGCAGACATGCCCCCGCCCCCCCTGCAGACACTCTGCTGCACCTCTCCAAAATTGTAGCTGAACGCAGACAGGAGGCCTCTGATTGGTCAAATCTACATCCCCTCTACACTATTTATATTTCCTGTTTGGTTCCTTACCGGCTTGTTTTGTTTGTACGACCGGCATTATGAAAAATGACTGTTTAACCCTTTAAAGCCCGATCCAAGAATAAAACAAAACAGAAAATTACTTTTTTTTGGTTTGAAGTCCTTATTTAGCCTTTTATCAAAATATATAAAAAGAAAAAACAGAAATACATTTTTGATATTAATAAGATATTACTATGCGATAAGTCAAGATTATTTTTTTGTGTAGTCTTCTGCCCTCTGGTATCAGGTATATCTGATTGTGTACAATAGGATTTTGAGCAAAGTTTTTACCATTAAATTATGCAAAAGGTGACATTTCAGAAACCGTATGTATCAAATATGATACATTTGGCATTACGGGGTTAAGATGGACCAGCTAGAAGAGCGAGGTGCGCGAGAACGCTGGGACCCTTTTCCCACCTGGATTCCCGCTCTTTTTCGCCCTCATGTCTCTCAGTTTTCGCACAAACTTGCCTCTTGCGTTTTTCCACTTCCTCAGTGCGTATCTAGACCCACGGCTAGTTTGTTATTGTCTCTCTTGTGTTGTTGCGTGGAATGACATAGCACAGACCACGCTTCAAAATTCGGCGTCATACCTGCGACAAGCTCACTGCGACATAATGATGGAGGAAAATAACCAGCCCTTAAGTCTGCTTCGTCACTCTGAAATCTGGATCACTAGCGGTAACTAATAGACCATGACATCTACTCTTTCTCTAATAAACCTAGAAGCTGAACCTCTGATCACATCAGCAAGCGTGCTTCTGATTTTTTTTATGTTGGGATGCTTAGTCTAAGGCTGGACAAATTCAACTAAGATGCTTTGGCATGATTTTTAACCCTCAGCTGGTTAAAAATCTCCACAGGGGTGTAAAAATATTACTACAGGTTATTATAAAAGCTTTAGCATCAGTGTGGGTACGGCTGTGACATCAAAGATGGAAATTACATAAAATGCTTTAAATTTTAACTTATAAGATGAGCTCCAAATAAAGGGTTTGTGATACGTATGCTGTTGGCTGTTTTTGTTTTTTTATGAAAATCTCATTGAGAGACTCGTCATCAGACTGCACAAAATTGAGTGAATGTTTTCAGAGCTGTAGATAAAACTTTATGGAATTAATTCTTGTGTTTACTATTTGTTTTTTGATTTTAATAATCTTTGATTTTATGTTTGCCTGTGGTTTAAATGAAACGTAACAGAGACACCAGTTTATCTCAGCAACATTTCAACGTGGCAAAGACAGGAGAACATACCTTTCAGGTAAGGTGGATGTTTTCCTGCTAAATTTAGTAAATTCCTTTAAGGCTTTTTAGGATTATCCTTACATTAAATCAAATGTATGTGGACTTATAAGCTTAGAAGACCTGAGAACCACTTGTTATATAAAGGTAAAGAACTGAAACCTTTAAATAATCTAAGATTAATGCTGGGTTAACAAATCGGCTTGCATTAGTGACCTGTTTTCTTCTTTATTTTTCTTTATTTTGGCAAACCCCCTTTTTCACACAGCAGACAAAACAGCCAGCGAAAGAAGAACTAAAGACAAAAACAAAAACTGAAAGATCTTTGACACTCTTTTGGTTTTTATGGCTGAATAACAAAAATCCACCGAACAAAAAAACAAAATACTCCCAGAAAAGGTGAAAAAACACAAACAACACAAATTACCATCTGTTAAATGTCTCATAACTGGATCACAGTGCATGATACCTTTTTTTTATTATTTATACCCCCTGAAATTAGCTTGTTAATTTAGTGGGAGCATGATTACAAGAGGGGAAATTAATCTAATTAGATCAAGGATTAATTAGCCATTATGTTTTGCTGTTCATCAAATTCATTAAGAGTCCTGATTTTTAAATATATTTGACCCAGATTCAGGTGCAGTAAAGCTGCAGTAACTCAGAAACAAATAGGAGTGATTGATACAAACAAAATAAAGAGCAAAATAAAGATTATTCAAAACAACCAGAGCTGCATTCTGTGTTTTTAAAAAAAGAAAGTACTCGGATAGAGCTAGCAGTTTACAATCCATCCAAATATGAAGGAATTACAAGATTATCCTGATTTATGGTTTAAAGTAATGTGTAGAACCTAACTCTAGAATTGATATACTTCCCTTTCATTTGATTAAATGAAATTAAGTATTTGTATATGTTTTAAGTGAACATTTTCTATGTCACCAAGTACTGAATAATAGTAAATATTGTAACAATAAAAATATACTTTTTCTTAAAAGCAAGCTGGTAATTGTTATCATATGTCATTGTAGAAACAAATCACAAAGGAGCCAGCTTTTAAAATAAATAAAGCACAAAATAAGATTGTGATATTAACAACATGTGCTCAACAAAAAATTTTACACTGGAAAAAAAGTAAAAATTTCCTAAATTAAGTGTATTTACCCTTAATTTAAGTAGGTAAATTAATTAGTTTGCCAATGGAATCACTATTTTTACTCTTAAAATAAGATAATTAGATAAAATGAACTTGAAATAAGACAATGCAATTGTGTTTTCTTATTTTAAATTTCAAACTGTCTTGTTCCATTGGCAAAATGTCTATTTTTTCCTCTTCAATTCAAGAACAAATGCACTTATTTTAAGAAAAAATTGCTTATCTATGGTTCGATTTTTTCCCAGTGTACTGTCATTGTTTTTTTAAATATATAAACAGAGAAACTATGCAGACATATTTTTTGGGGGGGTTTCCTAATTCCTTTTATTTTCCTGATTCTTTCAGGTGAGATCAGATCTATAATAATGTGATTATTTGCTATCAGCAGCAGCTGTCAGTCACACTGGGGTGTCAGGCTGCTGCTGGCATCCACATAAACACACTTTGTTCACCAATCAATACCCCCCACCCCCCTCGTGAAAATGCCCGCGCATCGTGCTTGTGTGCACGCGGACATGTTATTTTATTTGGGCTGAAATTGCTCGGTTGGATTTATGGTGAGACAATTAGCAGCAGCGTAGCGATGCCTGCCTGGACAAGTCAGGACAGAAATCTGCTTTCCACATAACAATACAACTCCTACTCTTTACTCTTTAACTATTTCTAAGCTTCACTTGTTTTTCCCTTTAGAGCAGATAAATTGTAATTTTAAGCCATGTTTAAATGTCGGGAATGTGCACGCGCTGGATCCCTGAGCACATCCTGCTCTGAGCGACATCCTGCCAGCATCCTCCCTCTGCCCTCTACTCACCGATACGAGGTCTGCTTTCTGAACGCCAGTCCGCGTAATTTGTCCTCCAGAGATTCCTGCTCCATGTCCGGTAGGCTGCTGAACGTGTCGCTGCAGCCCATGGCAGCCTCCTCTGAGCCCGCTCCGGACTCCGAGTCGCCCCCGTCTGCTCCGAGAGAGACCGGGCGACCGCCGTAGCTCCCTCCGGCCGCCATCGCCGCGGGTCCGGTGCGGCTCTTCGCTTGGGGGTCCATGCTGGTCACTCCTAGATG